ACCGAATAAGCCCAAGTTTATGCAGTATTCAAATAATATTTTTGGGATTTTTTCTTGTTGACGATGCCACTCAGTTTCTTCCATACAAAGTACGCTTGACGATTTTTTATATGGAAAAAATGAGCATTACTTTCTAAAAAGAAAAATTGCCAAAAATCAACGGTAAGTCTAATCTAATTACAAAGCTCGAAATTTTTACGAAAGTTTGTGGATTTTTTTGTAAATAACAAATAGTAATATCTTGTCAATAAGCGAGTGTCGTAAAGTTATGATAAGCACTTTATACTACATATGTGTGTACTGGAGAAGGCTGAAGTTTTCAAAAATTGCACCACTATGCTGCTTCTTCTTACATTTTCGTGAAAGGAATTGTGTAAAAGTCCGCACATGCCGATTCTAGCTAGATCTGTCATGTGTTCACATGAATGTGTTCGCAAATGTATTCGTTTACTATAAACGCTTATATGTATGTGTATATGTACATACATACCCTGAAATAGATGCCACTAGACCGGGATCACTCGGGATCACTAGACTGCTACCACCTTTGATCTCTATATATATGGAATGAAATGCTCGCGTTTGTGAGAGCAATTAATTGTTCCCATTTATACCTCAACCAGGGTAGCCAACTCATTTCTGAGAATTCCCCGATTTAGACAATATAATTCCCCGATTTTGCTCGAAATTTCGTCAAATTCCCCACCCATATCTCCTTACATACAAAAAAAATAAGAAATGTATGTATTTAGTATATAGTAATTACTGGTCTTTCTGCTTATTTTATTTTTAAACGTAATTCACCTATGTATTGTTAAGCCAAACCTAACTTTTATAAAGTTAGTTAACAAATAAAGAATACAAAATATTTATGTAATATTTGCATACACGCTGTGTTCGAAAAACTTTTAGTAGCACCAATTATTATTATTTATTTTATTTTTTTAATTTGAGCTATTTTTTATAAAAATATAGTTCATTCTTTAACAAAAACCGTATAAATCCAAGTTTCAAACTTTGTGCAATATTTGAGAAAAAGTTCAACAAAATTTCATAAAAATTTCGAGCTTTTTAATTGGATTTTCTAGAAAGATTTTGAGTATGCAGTTTTGTAGCCCACTCAATTCTAGAATAATGAAGTGCAAGTTTCAGGTGGTTAAAAATTTTCGTTTTAGGATTTTTTCGCCGAAGTTGTTGCGGTTTTTTTCCATATAAAATTAAATTATGTTTATTCGTTATATATAAGCAAATGCGACAAAAAAAATTCTAAAAAATCAACGGTTGTTTTTAACCATTTGAAAATTTATTATACTAGAATTGAACGTGCTGAAATTCCCCACAAAAACGGCCCATTCCCCACGCAAACTGAAATTCCCCGCAAATCGGGGAATTCCCCACGAGTTGGCTTCCCTGACCTCAACGGATAAGAAAAGCGACTATGCGCTTTTTAAAAAATGTCGCTAGCTGATATTCGTGGAGCTCAAGCTTTTACTATGCCAAACGCCGCATGAAGATTTTGTTGCTCAAGTGCGTATCTACATATCATTTATGAGTCAGGGACTAATTATTGCTCAATTGTACCTCAATACGGACTACTTCCACAAACATTATTTTTTCAGGGTCCGTATAATCGAGTGTATACTTCAAGTATCTGCCCTGCTGGGAAAGCTGCCAGCTGTGTGCAAGAATACTCCCAGTTTGCTTTTCAGCTCAACTCTAAGTTCGTCTCCCTTTTTTTCCATAATACCAGTGCAGATCGGAGCGTTTGCGTGACATTCGTTAGAATCGGGGTAAATTTCCGTTAAAAAAAAACCACCCGCAAACGAAACATTTTTAAAAATGTTTTTTTTAACAATCTAATTTTCTATTTTCATCTTCAATCATAATCCCTGCTTTAGGTTTGCACAGGAATATTTATAATGAACAAAGGGGTATTTGCTAAAGTGATTGACTCCGGTTTTCCAAACCGGTTACCACCGGTTTTTTGAATATCTAGAGGCGTTTTTATAAATCTTGATTTTTCGCATATCGAATAGATCGGATTTTTATATAACAAACCGATTTTTCATTTCATACAAATCTTGACCTCTCAATAAAAGTTTAGAGTTTTTTGAACATTCAAGGCTTTGTAAGGGAAATCCCGAAATAGTTTTAAAATTATATCCTAGGTTATTTGGGGATGGAACAGTACATCAAATTTGGTTCCAATAAATTAATGTTAAATGTTTTCTATGTGTTTAACTCAGCCTCTCCTCCAATTCGTGTTGTGCTTCTTGATGTTATGACACAAACGGAGAGATCTACACTTTTACTCCACCTCCGAAGAAGTTTTTTTATGGCAGAATTACACTCGAAGGTTTACATTGTCAGCCGAAGGCGACCGCTATTTGAAAAAGCTTTTTTTGATGTTTCTGGGACCAGAAATTGAATCATGTGCTTTTTGAGTGGCAGTAGGATCATGCAGAGTGAAACTGCCGTTGCAACTGCAGGTAACAATTTGCATTTATATAAAGTTATATAAAGCTGTGGAGTTTATGGCGGTTGGCTACAGTCCACAAATATAAATATGCACTCTGCATGGCTTTTTACAATGGCGAAGCCAAAAATTCACTTTGCTGCACACCTTCCTTTTGGTCTACATGAAATTGCAAACACTCTTAACACATCCATTTTTTCATGTGCTAACAATCGTACTTACCTAAAGGGCTACATGTCCAAAATTATTGCTACGTGTTCCTAATTAATCAATCTTTGTATATTTATTGATTCCTGCAAAATTGGGCCATGTAATATTAAAATTAACACATTTTTCTGCATTGTTTACATATTTTTATATGCATTTTGGCATTTCTTTCTCGCAATTGCACCAAGATGACGTCACGCAAAAATTACGCTCAAAAATCCTCTCTCATTGGCACAATCTTGTGTTCTATCATTCTTGTGTTTAAGCGCCAATCTGTTATTATTATAAAAAGTAAGACAAATTTTAAAAATCTTGAATTTTTCATAGACTATAACTTACAAGTTCGGCGTAGTTCAACTATAACAAAGCATACAGGATGAGCCTACGTACTCAAAGAACAACTTAAAAAATAGAATCTTGCCCATTTTTTGCCCAAAAGCATGTTTTTTCAACTTAATTGATATATGTATGTATTGCAAGAGGAGCTTTATGAAATTTGCTTCAAGATATGTCAACTTTAAATTTGGCATGCGTGCTAAGAAAAACATTGGCTTCAACATGACTATGGAGAACTTGTTCCAAATAGTGTAAAGGGGAGTCGAACTACCCCAAAAAATACTCAGTCTATCCAGAGTGTCCTACTGATAAGTACATTTCTTTTGAGAGGTGATAGGCGAGGTCTAGACGAACAAAAAATTATATGGGAGGTGGGATCTAAAATGGAATCCTGTGGAGAAGGTGATCGACAGTAGTTCAAGAAAAAAATTCTCACGCCTAAACGAAAAACCCTAATGAAGAACCCCTATAGAGCTTTTTAGCTACTTAATTGTATCAGCTTAAAAAAAATATTTTGAGGGTGTTTTTTTTTAGTTCTTACGGAAATCTGGGCATTACAAAATCAAACTTTCAAGATTTGTTTACCCTTGTTTTACTTTGGCGGCAATTTTGATATAAAAAAGGTCCTATTAACCTATATCTCTTAATTTTTTTTCAAAATGGTTATGAAATTTCGTTCAAATTTTCCCAGCATATGTCATACAAATTTTTTGGTTTTACTCCGGAAAAAATATGTTCCAATTAGTATTTTTATTGATAGTTCGGCCATTTTGGCATAAAAAAGGTCCTACTAACCTATATTTCTGATTTTTTTCAAAATCGTCATGAAATTTCCTTCAAATTTGCCCAATATATGCTGAGTAGCTGGACGGTGCGGACGTGTTTTTGATGGGTCTGGCAAACGCTGCTTTTTGTTAATGTCGCGAGGAAGGATATAATTTTTTCTTCATTTGCATACATTCTTAAAAGCTGGCAAATTTTTTGTCTGATGGAAATGAGATAGTGATCCTAACTTTTGCAAACCTGTGCTTTGTTTAATCTCAAATTCAATCGTTATGCCTTTCACCTTGAGTGTATCAACATCTTACCGACTGATGCTGAGATTTTGCTAAATTCTAACAAGCCTTTCTTTTGTAATTTGTGTTTGGCCGCTCGGCGCGAATCTCTTCGCTCGCCGCCTCTCATAGTTCCGGATAATATTGCTGTTTCTAATTGTGCTAACGAACTGGTAAATATTTCTGCTCCTTCTAATATTCAATTCGGCGCGCATCTACCTGCTACTCTTATGCCAATGGCGCTGAAATCGAACTCTTCGACGCAATCTGATGTGGATACTTTGCTTAAGGAGGTTGATTTTGACACCAATCAAAATTCAACCATGCAGTCTGTCTTTAACGAAATTGCCGCTCTTCGAGCTGAAAATGCCCGAGTAGTTGCTATTGAAAAATCCCTACAAGACGACAATATTCAACTGAGGAAAATAACTGAATCTCTGCCTGCTGAATTTCGAGTGTTACTCAACAGTAAGCATTACGATGAGTTGTCCACTTTCTGCTGAGATTAAATCTGTTCGTGAAAATATGTGTAACACATGTAACTATAAATCATCATTCGAAAAACTTCAAGCCAATGTTCAAACCCAGCTGATAAGTGTGGATCTGGCATCTCCTTTTCGCACTTCAGTTGATTCTGCTGCTAACACCACATCTTCGCTACCAGTGGCTGATATATCAGCTCACTCAACGCTAACAGCTGTGCCTACTTAGGCATCTCCCGAGTCCCGAGCCATTTTTTGAGTCCCGACATCCCGGGATATAATTTAATATACGACCAAATTGAAATAGAATGAAATTCAGACACTGTAATGGCGTACAAGAATTATAAAATTGCACCCTAAAAAAATCAAATAATCTATTATAATTGTAACCCTACTATTATTCTATGTTATGAAATTGCAACCCTACATGTGTAAATAATCACAGCAACTATATTGTTACCATCTGTCATTCTTCTCTGTTTTGCTTTGACCTGTCATTATAATTAGCGCGCAACTACAAATTTTCATCAATATGGGTAAGTCAGATTATATTGTTTGCTTTTAAATAAAATAAGATACATTTCTTTAAAATTATAGCTTTTGCCCACTTGAACAATGTGGATTACGTTCCACACTCAACAAAAGCGCAAGATAAAGAATCCGCCTGTTTCATTTTCTGGTTGCAGCTAAAAGTGGTAGCACAGCAATGTGCAAAACTTGCAGCAAAATTATAAAAACCAATGGTGGTTGCACCAAAGGCCTTTGGACTCATCTAAATGTAAGTAAAATCGAGCAGTTTAACCGCAATTAATTTTTGCACGTAAAAATTATATTTATTTAGGTTCACAACATCAAAGCGCAGCGAAAATCTAAAGAGGACACCAAGGTCGCACCTAAAACGAAAGTTCAGAAGATAGCAAACTATTTTTCTCCAAAGTTCGAAGAGAGCCTTATGGCTGTTGTAGCACGGTTAACTGCGGTGATGGATTGCCTTTCAGAAAGTTGACAGAATCCAAGGAATTGAGAAAATGTCTTGAAGCACGAAACTTCAATGTTCCTAAATCTGCAGACTCAATAAAGGAGCTTATGATGACCTTTTTTAAAAAATGTCGCGATAACGTCGCATATGAAATTAGGAAATTAAAAAGTAATAACGAAAAATTCAGTTTGATATTTGACGAGTGGACGTCAACTTCAAACAAAAGGTATTTAAATATTATTGTTCGTGGAAGTAGCCAATATTTAAATCTCGGTCTTGTCAGACCATGGTACAATAAAAACAGGTAGAAGCCAAATTGACATCAAACCTACAAAAGTCAAAGTTTTCGGGAGAGTAAAAATAAAAATGAGCGTGTGTAAGGAAAAATAAAAAATTACATTTCGCTGGTTGACGTTTTTGAGTAAATTTGAAGTTTTGTTTCTATTTATTTATTTTTCTTTACTTAAAATTTGTTAATTTGTATGTTGTTTTATGTTTTTAATTTATGAGTTGCAGTGTTGTTGGAGGGACTTTCCGGCATAAGGGTCATAGGAACAGCACTTGGCATCAAACGTGCCTTTCCTGTACCTCCCGGTGCATTTATGAAATCTGCTGCTTTAAAATGTTTAACGCACAGCAAGGCATTTCGCTGCAGCTCTGGCCCACAGCTGCTTTCGCAACGCTCTTTACGCGAAGGACATTGAGGCACGTTAAATGGTATCTGCTTCATATTTAACACCACATAAAAAACGGTGTTGCATTTTTAACACATACATTAAGTATAAACTGCACAATACTACAAAAATTCAAATGTTAATTAAAATTTGTTATTAACGAACATTCAAAAAAAAAAACAACGATATGACATTCAAAGCGTAACGAAATATAGGAAATAAATGAAAAACAAGTTGAAGTTTAAAGGTTTGGTTCTCATGAGAGCAACGTCATTTTGGCTTCTACCTGTATTTATGTGCCTTGTTGTCAGACTAAAAAATTCTATAACAGCAAGTGTTTGTGCCGAATTTTTAAAAGAAAGGCTTGCTGTTTTTAATTTATCACTATCTGGAGACATTGTCTCCATAACTACAGATGGCGATAGTACTATGATAAAAGTGGGAAAAACAATTGCACCTTCCCAACAGCTTTGCTTCGCGCATGGAATACAATTAGCGCTTATTGATGTTTTATATAAAAACCCATTGTCAGCTGTTTTTTCAACGGATGTAACGAACATGAATAGTGATGATGATGAGGGCGAAGATGGCGTAATATTTGAAAGGCTTTTAATAAGTAAAAATACTCAATTTTCGGAAATGAATGATAACTATAACATCAAACACTTTCAGAAAATCGCCCACTAAAAACGATCTTTTGCAAACATGTAAAAGATTATCACGGTAAAGAGCTGAAATTAATAGTCGATTGCAAGACGTGTTGGAATAGTATGGTCTGCATGCTCGATCGTTTTTTATTACTAGAAACTTCCGTTAAAAAAGCTCTCATCGATTTAAAAATAACTCCCATATCTGACAATGATAGTTATATTATAAAAAGCATTTTAGATGTTTTAAAGCCTGTACAAATGACTGTAGAAGCTTTGTGCCGTTCTGATATGAACTTGTGCAAAGCTGATGCGGCGATGACTTTCATGTTGCAGGAAGTTTCGAAATCAAATTTTTTTTCAGCAACGAGCTATTAAGTGCTCTAAAAAGGCGTATTAAAGAGCGAAGAAATATTTATTGCGCTACTTTGAACTTTTTGACGAATCCAAAAATAAATTCAGAGTTAAATGACTTATGTCAGTTTAGTAGTTCCTCAATAAAAAAAAAAACAAATAATAAAATTTTGGCAAACATTTGGTACAAGGTCTATTGACGATCCTACGGGTGACGAAAATTTCGGATTATCATGTTTTGATGAAAATGAAAGTGAATGTTCAGAAAGTAAACTTCAAAACGCTATTGCAAAATGTGTAAGCCCAGATAAAACGCAGGACTCTTTTATTCATAAACTAAGCGACATTGTTTCACAAGAAGTAGATCTTTTTGTATCAGGTGGATCTCGAGGATCTAATTTACAAATGGTTTACTAACAGTTTCTCCAACTAGCTTGGAGTCCGAAAGGTGCTCCTCAACGGCTGGATATGTTTGCAATAAACTAAGATCTAGTCTTGCGGATGATAAGCTAGATGCTTTAATATTTCTATGATATTTTTTAAACTAAACCCTATACTTGGATAAAACCATTTTTAAAGAATGAAAATAATGTATTGAAAACCTTAATAGTAAAAGATAAGACTGTCTTAATAGCATATAAGTATTTTGATGATAAGTATTGATTTTTCATAGAAGAATTTTAGCCAGTGTATTTACAATACGACACAATAATATTAATACACATATGTGTATATGTATAAATATATGTAAGTCCACAGATGATCACTTATTTTTTACTTTTATAAAAATTACTGTGACTGCAATGTCAATGAATTTCTTTCTTTTTTAAATTGATATAAAATAAAGGCATTTATATTTTTTTGCTTAAAAACACAAATTTATTTTATTTCTAGTATTCGCACTAAAGCAAGACTAATTAAATTAATAGTAATAATATCCCGAAATATCCGATATCCCGGGATTCACAAAATGGTCCGGGATTGGATGCCTTAGTGCCTACGTCTGCTACCGCCAATTGTGCTGATGTTCTGTGTCAGACGTCATCGAATGCTGCGTCCACTGTTGCTGCTGCGTTTGAGTCTATCTCTCCGTCTGTTTTGCCTAGCTAATACGAATAGCTCTGAGTTACCTGGTCGTTCATCTGGTGGTAGTGCAAATGATGCTTGCTCTTCTAACGACAAGTGGGGTGTATCTTACAACAACGTGCCATTGCTGACTTTTACTTCGCATTAATTGAACACTTCGCCGGGCTCTGTTGATTCTGCCTGGATTGTAGCTAAAGCTTAGTATCCAGCTCTTAAGAAAAGCAAAACTCCATATAAAATGACGTACAAGAAATGGCTAAGAAATTTTCTTGAGTCAAATTTCCTTAAGGCAGTACGCAGTTCTTCAGAAATTTAGTACGCTTTCTACTACGGTTTTCTAAAGCTTTTGTGAAAAAAGAGCACAAGGCAACCCAGGTTTGCAACAGAAATATATGCCCGCTCCATTATTTCTTGAGGAAAGAGTGAGGCAACAGGCTGTGAGGTATAAAAAATGTCAAAATTCCTTGGACACACACGCGAAATAATGGCAATTTTTTCTTGACCGTTTTCTTAAGAGCTGGATACTAAGCTTAAGAATAAAAAGAGAATGCGTAAGCGAAAGCAAACGCGCGTAGTGGGTTCGGGTGAGAGCAATGAGCTCGAGGTAGCTGCACGCTATAAGGGGCTACATTTGTCTTCCTTCTCACCGACTGTTTCGGCTGATAATATTAGGTGCGTACTCGTATTGAGAGGACGAAATTCTCCAGCAGCAAAAGTTCTGAGAATTTAGCAGCATTCGCTCTCAAAGAGACGAAATATCAACAGAAGTACGAGAACGCGAAATTTGCAAAAACTTGCAACCTTCGAAACAGCTGATCACCTGCACAGTTGCCACTGGTGATTAATTTGGCAATTTATTTTCTGTTTGGTACATTTTCCCCCGATTTGGCATTTTATACAATTGAATAGTTTTCGATAAGAAAAACCTTTTTGAAATACAAATTAATTATATCGGAATGAATAAGTTATTTTTCTCATAATTATTTGTGATATCACATAGTGACGCATTCAAAAACAAGAGTATCTCCTCCAAACAGCCATCATTGATCCAAAAACAATGTAATAGATATAACTACAGATGTAGCTTTAAAATTATAAAATTTTTATTTCAACAATCAACCTACCAAAACCGAAAAGCAAAGCTAAAGCTCATTTCACGGAAACCCGGTGACTTTTCTACGGAACGCTTGGGTCCCGCGAAACCCACCTAAGGAAGCTCTGATATATATAACATACTCTTGGAAATGACACTAAGTAGAATTAAATGTGTGCCTGTAATTTAACCAAAGTTATGAGTATTCGGAATTTGCCATCTTAAAGGAAACTCAAGTAAAAAAAAATCAATTATTCCGCTGGTACACCTATTTCCCGATAGTTGTTTTATGCTAGAAACTGCTGGTTCAACACTTGTATAATGTGTTCATAAGTCGGTTAGCCCCAACAAACATTTAGGTTAAAAGACGATTCTAATGTGTTTCTCTAAGGTGAAGGTTAGAAGACGATTAGATAAACTTTCGAGAATTGTAGCATTATCTGCAAAAAGAGGACTTAGTTCTCAATATCAAGAAAGAGGTTAGATATCTAATCGAATTCTAACGTTGAATTCTAATTACTAGATTAGAATTCTAACGTAAATTCAAAATATTTCTCTAACGTTAGAGACTTTGTTGGCTGTGGTGTAAAAACAAAGTTTAAGCTAGTCATCGAGGCGAAATTTTCCAATTTTTTATCAATTACACATGCCGAAAGTTTCGCCACGTTTTTTGAGGTTAGAAAAAAAATCTGACGCGATGGATCAAAACGGGCCTCAAATTCGTGTTCAGCGACCCTAAAAACATATTGCACACCTAAACTGGTCAAAAGAACCATTCATCAATTTTGTTTTTTTGTAGTCCTGTTTTATTTATAATTTACATTACCGAGCTTAACTGAGTTTCCATTTTTACTTATGTTTCAACGTTCAAGGATTAAGATGAAATCCATGAGATGAGTAAATTTCATTCTGGCTACGCCGATGAACACAACAAACGTTGTGTATATTAAATTTACTCACTTTTTCGTTGTATACTAGCATTAATAATAAAATTTGCAATAAATAACTCAAAACGCCATATTTTCTTTCGTTTATTTACAAAGATGTGTTTGTGATCAGCTGATTTTCTTACTTGCAAGTTTTAGCTGGGAAAAATTTTTCCAGCAGAAATTTGCAGCTCTCTTTCACATTCTGCTCTCTCAATTTCCCCTACTTTGCAAGTTTTTTAGGTACCAGAACGCAAAACCAGTAAAAGTTTTCTAAAACTTTAGATAGTTGGGCGTACGAGTACACTCCCATTATTGGATACGTGGAG